TTTTGGCCCAATCCTCCAATTTGCCCAGATCACTCTAAATCCTAGCCCTACCCTCCAGTGTATCTACTACTCCCCACAGCTTGGTGTCATCTGCAGACTTGCTGAGGGTGCACTCCATCCCATCTTCCAGGTCATTGATGAAGACATTGAACAAAACCAGCCTCAGGAGCATTTAGCAATGCAATAAGGCTTTTCTCTTTAACTATAGCATGTATTATCCATAGTTTCAATATTTCAGCTAAAATCCTTACCCACCACGTGTCATGTCACCTGTGGTATCAGAAACCGTAGAGGTTTTTTTTAAGCCCTGCAGATCAGTCACGTAAGTCCTGCACACTGTAGAAGCTTTAGAGAATCTGCCTATGCCAAAATTTACTCTAACACACTCATACCTGTTGGGTTCAAGAGGTATATGTAGTAATTTTAGATGCTAACGTGGTAATTATTGGTAAATGCTGACATATCTGGCATAAGAGGGAAGGGAAAACCATGGGACAGCATAATATAATAGAAGGTTAGAGTAGCTGCTGGCTGGGGGGCGGGGGGAGGGGGAAGTGAGGTCCAATCCATCGAAATCGGATATTACAGAATTAGAACTAGAGTTATATCTCTCTCCCACACTTAGAGTCATCTCCCGGAACAGTGCAACTGGACACACAAGCTTGAATCTGCGCTGAAACGTTCAGTGCCGATCAGGCTACTATAGCACAAGAACTTGCCAGGCAAGGGACTGAATTCTTACCTTGTCTCAGAGCTGGGGCCTGCGGCATGCAAAATCTCGTTCCTTTTCTTTCTTTTTTGTTGTCTCCATAATCATCTCTAGACAGGCACTTCAAGCAGTATACTACTTTACACAGAACTGAAAGCATTTATCTCATCAGGGCTGCATGTTCGTGCTGCCCTGTCTTGAAATACAAAGATACAGTACCTTGTGGAGGTAACAAGCATTAAATGACAGGGGATACACCTAAGGTAGCTCATATTCTTCCCTGAATCTGATGCAACTGACAGCTGCAATTCGTGGCAAAAATGGGCTTATGTATGTATCTATAACAAACATTGGCATTTTAGCTCAAGACAATATCTGGACAGACTATTTTTAAAAAGTAAGGGAAGCTGTTCAAAGGTAGGGGGATGCTGCTTTGCAAACAGTCATCCGCTTATTTTTCAATTGTAGAATTCATTAGTAAGACAAACTGAAATTTCCTTCCCCAATCA